AGCCAATCAACCGTCCCTGCCAAATGGATCCTGTGTGAGATACAGCAATCCAATAACTCGACTGCTCTTGACTATTGACCCAGCTTCATTCAATCCATTCATTCATTCATCCATCCTTCCATTCATCTGCCCATCTGTCGACTGATCCATTATAGCCAGTGTCAGACAAAGCCTTGATTAGCTCGCTGAGGGATCAAGTACATAGAGGAAATTGGTCACGTGCATGTGCGTGTGTGAGTTTATAGTCACCGATATGATGTAATCACAAAGAGGCAGAGGAGAGAGGTAAAACAACTCAAGAATAACCACAAAAAAGAAAAGTTCATGGAGCGAGAAATCATGATTGAGAAGCAACAGATCGAAGGCGAAGTGACCGGTTGAAGTTGGTCCTTTGGGAGGAAGCTCAGAAAAATCTGCCTGAACCCGTCGATGCATCACAACCCAGACGTGTACATGAAGTGATAATCAATAACAAGCCAATTGAGTGTACATGTAGAAGTTTGTGTAGATTTGTGTTTCTACAAAAATGCTAAGCTGAGCAGACGAATGGGATCAGTCCTCCTACCTTGTGTGTTTAAGTATTCCCACTACACTGATACATTTTCAAGTCTTTTAGGACCAGATCTTAATAAGAGGTTGACTTGATGGGAGAATTTGGCTGTAAACAGAGAAAGCTGATGTTTTCTGTGGAAGGCTGCAGAGAAAATAGAAGGTTAGAATGAGACAGAATTCAGACTTAAAGATTTTGGAGAGAGAGACAGAGAATGAACGAGTACGAGTGGATTGAATTGATCTGGGGATTTCTCGTTCCCAATCCCTCAGTGAGCGGTGTAATGATGCTGCATTGGCTGTGACCCCAGAATACGGCTCTATTTCATTAGGTGCGATTAAAGCTGCACTGCTGACTTAGGCCTTCCCGCCCAGCACACCTCACTTTGCCCCTCGGAGATAACTCGACCTGACAGAGCCAGGCCTCTATGTAACGTTACTTTTGTCTTGACACAATTTAAAGCTGCATAATTTCATAAATTGGCTAAAACGGGGGCAGTACAACGAACAATATCTATCATGTTATTGTAAAAGCTATTTACACATCCAGCAGACAGAAAGCAACATTAGCATTCAATATGAGTCTTGTTTATGTCCACCTGATGAAATCAAAGTGCAATATTCACTTGGATTTGTCCCCAACAACTTCAAAGAAGATGAATAAAGTTGATGAGAGACTTGTGTAAATGTGCTGTATAAACCAAAACTATGAGCTTAAAAGGCTGCTGCACCTTTTAAAATACACATAGTCATTTGGTCCATTGTTGATATTAAAATGTGGATTAATGGGGGTTTAGGGTTATCAGCAGGAAAGGACACAACATTTGTTCTCTTCCTTGACTTCTGAAATCATTACTGGGAACCTCAGGTTTTAATGCCAGCAAAACCTGTCTCACAGCTGCTAATACACAACAGTTGTCTGGTCCACATCTGCAATAAACCAGTCAGCAGACACTCCTTAACAAAGGGATTTACTATCCTCCTTGGCAGAAAAACACATAACACAGGCCTGTGGATTCCCTAACTCCTCTGGGCTTAGACACAGACTGACTAACTAGCGCGCACACACACACACACACACACACACACACACACACACACCAGAACAGCATCTTAAGTTTGTGAACAGGCGAGAAAGTACAGCAAAATTCATTTTCATGTCCTTGGAAAGTAGGCGGTGTTAGAATCTCTGTGATGTTACTATTTGCAGGGTTGGTTGTGAGCTACTGTAGGTGGTGATGTTATGGTAACATCATCATTAGCTTGCTAGCCAGCCATGATAGCACATCAACCCAGTCAGCTTGCTAATTGCTATTTCAGCAGTTAGATAGGTAATTACCTAAATGGAAAGTTCACGCAGTATATTAAAGAGACATATTTGTAATGTTTTACAACCACTGACGGCTGTTTTGCAGCTGACCCAATCTGGGATATTTTGGCTTAATTTTTGTACAGTGGGAGGAAGTGGAGAAGCGTTGTCCATCTTTATATAAAGTATACTACAAACTTTTTAACAATTTCTTCAAACACCTCATACGGATTCCTCCTCCTCTGGTTCTTTATTCCCTCAGCACTAAAACAGCTTAAAACTGGTCAAGTGCATCCATCCATCCATTATGGGGTGTCCACAGTTGCACAGTGCTCAAATTTCACATGATTTTTTTTTATTGTTGTATTGTTTATTGTGTTTATAGATGGGCTTGTTACTGTCTTCTGCTCTTACTGTTTGGCTGCTGTGTTGTGTGGCCCATCTTTACTTAGCTCTGCTGCCCTGAAGGCCCCTTCAGACCAACCAGAAGGTCAACTGGGTCATTCACATACAGCTCCGGGATTAATGCCACTAGGGGACAGATAGATCCTGGCTAAATAGACAATCAATTAATGGTGGTTTTTGATATCAGACACCAATTTTCTCCGTGTCTGACTCAAACAAATAGCTGCTGTTGTCTTGCACGCATTCTCTATCATAATCATTCTTAACACTGTGAATGGCCTATGGTAAATTCTTGTAAAATCTTATTTATTTGTGTCCAGATTATGTGTGTCTGATTCTTCACAGCACTAAATAATGAACCCAGTGACTTCAAAGAAATCATGTGCATTCCCTCAGAACAATCGTGCCATTTTGCTGTTAGCGTGGGAAAGACAGACATATCTCAGCAAAAAGTGTCCTAAACAAGCCGTTTTTGTCGTTCCCGTCACTCTTTGAAGTCGTAAGTAACTCATGACCCGCCAACACATTGTCTGGATTCATGCATACAGTATCTGCCTTATTGGAAATCCTGGTTTGCAGATATTGCCATTGTCTGACACAGAGCTCTCCTTGTGCAGAGTGACTATGCTTTTACAGCCAAATCAAACAAGAGGATCGGTTGAACAACCCCTGACTTCAGTGAGAAACCAGAAACTAATATTGCACCATTACCATTGTCATTATGACCAGCACAAATCCCAGCCTAATAAAAAACAGCACCCTCAAATTAACAAATTACAATCTTCTCTTCAGGAGTCAAATTGTTTTATGCTCTAATACCCCTCCACCCACGCATGCACACACACTCCCACACACATACACACACACACACACACACACACACACACACCACACACACACAAGAAAAAGTGTATTAATATCTTTTCATGAACCTGGGTCCCATGGCAACACAAATTTTGCTCTGTCTGGGTGTTGGGATGATCGAATCCCCCAGACAAATCACTGCACGATAACACAGGCCTCGGTGCCGCGATGTGAAGAGGTCATCCATTGATATTAATGGTGTGGTGGTTTACTGGCCTGTGGTGATTGGTTAAGTTTATTCAGGCATTAGTTAGAGGGGCAAATCAATGGGATTTAACAGCAAATTTGACTCCAGAAGGTCTGGTGCGTATGGCGCGGAGGGGGAGGATGGGATGAGGAAGGGTGGAGGGAAACCCAAAAGGAAGAGAGAGAGGAGCAAATGGAGCCGGCGTAGGGAGATTAAAGATAAAATGCAAACAGAAGAGAGAGGTCAAGGGGAAAGAGGAAGAAGCTGGGGGAGGACGGAGCAGAGAAAGAGCAGAGAAGGGGAAGGAGAGTTGAGGAGGAAGGTTGAGGTGAATGTCCCGTGGCGCTGTGTGGTTTGTCCTTTGCTTATCTGCAGCAGCGCTCACGCAGACACTCGCAGGCCCATTATCTGTTGTTTTGGCTACAGGCGGAGAGACTTTGTAAATTCTCTTTCTGGGTTGGACATCTCAGCATCTTTTTTTATCTTTGGCTGAGTGACAGTTTTCCCCTCTTCACGGAAACAACTGACCATGAGACTTGACGCACTCTTGGCAATCAGATCACCACTGACCCAAACCCACATTTATTTTCCAGATATAACGTTAGGGACCCAATAGTTTGCACACTTCAGCTTACAGTGTGTGGCAACTACTTTCAGTTAAGAGCATAAAGGTTATATATACAAAGTCCCAGTATCTCAGACCAAAACAATTGGCAATGCAGCAGACCAGATTCCATTGACAAAACCAGTAATTTTACTTAGCACAGAAACAAATTAAACTCACCAAAAGTATTTTTGTTAGTCTTTCCAACAGACACCAACGCTGGTTTGGTTGACCTAAACCTTTAATTCACAGTTGAAAAAATAGCCACGAAACAGGCTGCTATGTAACGTTAGCTAATCCTTGGGGACAAATGTGTCCATCCACTAAAACTTTTAGTTTTTTCCACTGACAGGCTCAGATTGTCTGACAGCATTATGGAAAGGATCCCTACAGAGATTGACCCTTAGTTTAACCACAAACAGCCGTAATATCACTATCACTCTCCACCAAACTCCAGAGACAGAAACACTCATTTTACCTTCAGATCATCATAACTTCATTCAAAGTGGACAGAAACAGAATAAAACTAATTAAAACTAACTCTGTTAGTGTTTCGAACAATCACCAACTCTGGTTTGGTGGAAATAAATCCTTAATTCACCGACGTAGATGATAAAAACAGCAGTTTCAGTCGGAGCAGACCGGCTATGGAAACAAACCACAGAGAGGCTGCGATACAACACAGGCAGAGGGACTGAGAGAAAACTCCACTATATTTTTACATAGCAAATAGTTGTTTGCTGCTATATTCATGTTTGAAATCTCATAAAAATCAGTAAAATCATTTTTTGAGTTAGTAAATTTGCTCAGTAAAGAGACTTCATGGCAATCGACATTAACAGTCATTCAATTTCAGTGAAACATGAACACAATGTCAGAATTAATAAATTATATGAAAGGAAATAGCAATTCGGTCTCGTTACCAGGCTACCAGTGGGACCATGAATATTTACATCTGGCATTTTACAATAATGTAAGATAATCTGGAAGTTGTGATTTCTTGTTTTAGAACAAAGTGTTGGACTGACTCATATACACAATCTTTAACACTTCCCCTTCCTGTTTGTCTTTTGTCCTCTCAGATCCAGTCTCAGTGGATCTGGACCAGTATGATGTGGTGTCTCTGTCTGATGCCCTCAGAGGTTTCCTGCTGGATCTTCCCGCCCCCATCATCCCCGCTACAGTCTACAGCGAGCTGGTCTACACTGCTCAAGGTACAGTGTGCTACAGTGGAAAACACACACACAGGTGCACTCATGTCAGGCCAGGCTAACAATGTATTAAAGGGTCCCACTTTCTGCCTCTAGAGGTATCGATCATATACAGAGTTTTGGTTTTATTTTTTCAAGATGGTTTGTGGAGCTCTCAGCAGTAAGTAAAAAAGAATCAACAGCAACATCTCTTTCCATCAACATTATCCTGGTTATACTCGATTTGGAGTTGTCTTTGTAGAGTTCTGGAGTGACCGTAAAGAAGAAAATATATATTGAGGCCTTGTTTTACTACATCGAGCACTCAAAGTGCTCTTCCATGTGCACAAGATACAGTTTGTTCCCCCATTTTGATTCGTGTTTTATGTCAACATTCAGTCCAGTGGATGTTGCTTACATAGAAATTGAGAGTGTATAACTTTGAAAATTCTACATAACTTTGTGTTATGTGCAATCAATCCACATAAGAGTGTCAAGATTTGCAAAAAGCATATAAATTGGTTTAATTCAAGTTCAAAACGGAGCTAATTCCTGGCTAGCTGTTAGCGGTTAGCTGTTTCTGAGGCAGTACATCTGCCATTATGAATGTGCCTGAGCTTTTAGCAGCATTGCTGAGGAAGGTAATATGGGTAGTGGGTATTAGATGTCAGTTTTTATCATATAACATCTTTGTGGCATGTTCGCTAACACTGCACTAACACTATTACTGCAGGACCTCACTGTGACCCATTTCCATTAGAGCTACTTTCTACCAAAGAAACAGTCGACAAAACTGGTGAAATTATGATCTGCAGTTATTCCGGGTGAAAGACACGTTGCTGCATATTTCCTCTGTCACTTGTCATGAGCGCCAACGCTCGTCACACCTGACAGATTCCTGCCATATCTGGATGTAAAGACGACTAGGCTGTACCCTCTCGTCAGCATCAAATTCCTTCTAATCTCCTGACAGCTTCAGGATTATATAAAAACAGACTGTGTGCTGAAACATGGCTCAGAGCCCGGTTCTCTCTCTCTTCTCATTTTATGTACGGCTGACCTGCTTGTTCACCCTTTCACCTGCCGCCCACCTCGCCCAGCAGGGCCTCCTCTCTCCAGCTTTTAGGAACTCTCGCACTCTTATCTATTTTTAATGAACCTACCTTGACATTCGCTGTTTCGTGCTTTGGGTGGGTGGTGTGCGTGCCTGTGTGTGGAAATAAAAGAAAGTCAAAGACACGTAGACAGATTGTGCACGTTAGCGTGTGTTTGTCAGGACAGAGGCATCGTCTGAGCTCGCAGGAAGTTCACACCAGCTTCCCTGCAACCTCCTCCCAAAATATTACTTGGCTAAGCTCCTCAACATGATCTCCAACTGAAAATCCCTTCAATTATGTAAGTGCTTTTCTTTCTCATGGTCCTCCTCCCGTTAAGTGACAGCCCTTTTTTAAATTTTACTTATTCATTGAAACATTTTAAGTCAGGATAAACCACTTTGAAAGGGTGCATCAAGTGTTTCGCTCAGGTCATCTGAGGTCAAGCCAATTGAAATTGAACTTCTTATTTAGGAAGGGTCACTTGTAGAGCACGGAGTGATTCCCCCTGTGAAATCAGAGGGGATTATAAAACAGATCTGAAGCATTTCATTTGTACAGTGAGGATAAGTCACGCAATAAGATTGTGAGATCCCTGAAAAGTAAACTATTTGCTCAAGGGCAAGTGGTGAGAATCTTTTATGTCCCTTCCTGCTGCTTCTTCTTCTTCTTTAGCTGCTATTTAGGTCTGTTTAGGTCTATTTACAGTAGGTCTTCACGCTGTCTTGAAACCCTAAACCATGAGACCTGTCACTCAAAGCAGTCATGTCCTAAATTATGTATAACTTCCAGCCCCTTCAATTTAAACAGGTGTCGTCATGACAGGAAATGAGCTATAGAGACTGAAAACAGTTTTTTGAACCAGGCTGTAAACATGTTTATTTCTGCTGTAAAGTTGGACAATTTAATATGAGACCTTATGGAGATTGACTCACTGCTGGAGCCAGCCTCTAGTGGCCGTTTGAAGAACTGCAGTTTGTGTAACTTCTGTGTTGGCTTCTAAGTAAAATAAATAAAGTATCTCTCTCTCTATCTAAAGTCACAACATTTTGTGGGAGTTTTTTCAAAAAACTAGCAATCCATTTTTTAGCACTGAAATTGCAATACGGTGAAAAATTGTTCCAGTGAGAATAAAATTGCCTGTACTTTGGTGACGTATAGCTCAACCGTTTGCATGTAGGACTGCTATGATTGGTGAAACTGCCAGGAAACTACAATGATTGGACTTCCTGGAGGGACTGAAAGCGTTAAGCGCATGAGGAGGTGTTTTGGGTGGTGAAGGTCGCATACAGCGTTGGTATGAGCGTGTCAGATCTGCAGAGCAATAATGATTAATGACAGGTAATTCAGGCCATACTGTACAACAGTGCTTTTTGCAGCTATTTTCTGAAGTAAAATACCAAATACATTTACCTTCATTTTGTCTGCAACTGTAGGTTCATTGCCTCATAGCCACATACACCAATTTGATAGGGTGTTTGACTCATATATATATAAAACAGTACTGTCATGATTGCCTGCAAGAACTGTTCTGTATATGCTGGGCTGGAGGGCAGGTTGTGATTATATCCAGATGGATGGAATCAGTCAATTTTGCCTCATATGAAGACAGTTACTGTCTCTCCTGTCTTAGTCAAATCCCTGAGATTTGTTGATGTTGCAACAGTTAAAATCTCCTCTCATTCCTTTTTATTTGCTACCTTTCCTCCGGCTGTCCTGCTCTCTGGGAGACGGGTCATTCTAGCATCTGTTTGATCTGCATCCATTTTTCCAGTCGGTGGCTCATCCTGGGAAATTCCCATACTCCATTAGAAATAAAGATAAAAACGTCCAGAGTTGGAAGGGATTCTAGGATACCTTGCCAGCCGTACTGACCTACCAGTGGGACACACAGTTTTGTTCAGCCGCCCCACAAAAAAATATAAAAATGGTACTATTGACTATTACCTACTAAGTACATGAAAACCAACTGGGGAACTAGACAATATATATATACCCTTATATACCCATAAGGAAATGATAGTAAGTTATTACATAGTAAGTACATGAAAACATACCCACCTTCTGCATGTCGTCATCCCTCTCTCTCCCCACTTTCCTGTCTATCTTAACCTGTCCTATCAAAATAAGGCATAAAAAAGCCCAAAAGATATCTTTATATATAGAATATATGGCCAATCTGAAAGTATCCTGTAGTAGCTCAATGTGTCATGGATGCTTATGCAATGTTTTTGTGTATTAAACATATACTAGGACTGTAAGATAAATCCATATATCACTATAAATACCAAGTATTTTTATGGCAAACATAATCTACCCTTCTAAATCATAGCAGCAAAGTAGATTATTGTAATGTGTACTTAAGTGGCAGTAAATGTCCAGGCTTGAAGTACCCAAAAAAAAAGACTTAATTACAGTAACGCGAGCAGTTGTACTTGGTTACTTCCACTCCTGTTAAGGTCACACAGTCTTTTGAGAAATGTCAAAAGATGCAAAATCCCATTTGAGCTCTAAAATCTGCAAAAAGTGTTTTTGGAGGCTAAATTAAATAGAAAACTGTAGGCTTATGTGCGTCATCACAGAGTCAAACTCCATTTAACCCTCAAATTAGTCCAATCATTTTCTATTTCAGAGCAATCTTTATTCTGTTGGTTTTTTTCGGTAACACAATAATTACATTTGTTGTCATCAGATGGGTGTAATCCTCCTATAATCCTCCTCTCATCTGTTCCTGCAACACTCTGACCACAATCAGCCTTTTGTCATTAGGGCCGTGCCACTTTTATTGTTTCCAGCTTTGTTTAAAGAAGGAGGATCGTGACGCTCACATGTGCGAAAGCACCGTACACTATTTTTTTAAGAGTTGTGTTTGCTGCAGAGGAGAAATGAATGAATGTGATGCTGTTGGAGGTTTTTCTTAAATTAAAAAGTCACAGTTCATGCCTGCCATATTCTTCCTCATCCTCCTTCTGTCGTCGCTCGCTGAGTCACCAATCTTACTGATTTAATCTGGGACCTTCTACACTTCCTCCCCTCTGCCCTTTTTTGTTTTTATTCATTACTTTGCCTCCCTCCCTCCCCGGTGCCTATTTTTTATCCTGTCCCTGTCTTTTCTCATTCATTAGTTTTGCGAGAGTTAGTTAACCCTAATGGTCTCACCGAGGTCATCGTCTGTGAGGATAAAGGCCAGCTGGCTGAGTCTGACTGACCACTGTCCATCTGGACCTAAGGAGGAGAGACTGCAGACTCCTTCAGAGATAAAATCTCATGTGTTTAATGGGACTAAAAGATAAGACATTTTCTATATAATTCCCCTTTTCCTTTTCAAAATGTAACGTCATACAATGTGGCCAGTATGTGGACACGTACCACTCAACCAAGGACCCAGGGTGTCTACAGGGTGTTAAAATATCCAATAATCTGAATTTAAGGCCTTGAAATGTCTTAAACATGATACTGAAGTGGCGTTTTTCCTTATTTTTAATTACATTTTGATTACACTGAAACAAAGACCAAATACAAACAACAACAACAGAAATACACAGTAGGAGAACATCACGCTAGAGGTTACAGTTAAACCTGCAAATATGTTTTTTCCGAAGGGCTAACCTGATATTATCCCTGAGGACAGAGTCATCATTACATAAAAACATGATGGGGTGATAATTGGGAATTCCAGAATGTTTTCAAGGTCAATCTCCATCATTTGATAGCTTAATGTATTTTCTAAGAAACTTCTTTTTTGATTTAATTACCTTAGATGGTTATTCCTGTCTCCTCAAACTGTTTTATGCAACAACTGACCCCAATCTTGTGATCATCTAATGAGATCATCTATTTAGCATCCATCTATATAAATGGAATTTGTGTAATGCAATTAAATAAAGCTTTTTTGGGGCTGAAAACGTCCATATGAACAAGAGCGAGGTG